AGTTGTTATTATATGAGTAATAAAAATTAAAATTAATAATGTTATTTCCCTGATCCAGCCAGCTCTCTAGCAGCTTATGCTACATGTTTACTATTTCTTCTTGTTTTTCACTTTGGTGGTTTGATTGTATGCTAGATTGGTTGTTACGTAAGTGCCCATTACTCTTGCTTCTTTTATTAATTCTACTGATATCTTTGCTAGCTTCCCACTGCTGAAAACGTTGACATCTTTCTGACCAAAGTTTTTGGAGTACTTCTGTCATCCTACTTGTTACCTTTCTTATTATATCCTTTGTTTTCGTACCGTTTACTTGTTCTATCAATAAGATTAGGTTTTTGTTGTAAATTCTTTTGATTATATATCTAAGATTTCTTTTCAAATCCGTTACTATTCTTTCCAGCTTGCAGTGCCAGTCAAGTTTCCCTTTGGTTTCTGTTCTGCTTGAGATTTCTTCTTTCAGAATTCTTAAGAATTTTGATTTGACTTGATCTGCATAATGTTCTATGAATATATGCTCTATGGTTTCCTGATGGGTGCACCAGGAACATTTCCCATCTTTGTATAGGTCCGGTTTTCTTTTATGTAGCTTGACTTTTGTGCCTTTTATTCTTAAGTTTTAAAATATATTTGAGTAAAATTTTATAAAATTTTAATTATTTTTTTATTTAATTATAAGATAAAATATAAAATTAAAAAAAATCCAAAAAATTATGACTCACACTGTATATCATATTCAATAAGCCAAATTCGATTATTTCAGAATTTCCTAGTTTGGAGCTATTCCAATCTGATGCTTGCTTAAAAAAAGTCAATCCCATGAGACAGATCTACTGAAGTTGCAGATGGTGACAAGGAGCAAGTATTCTCTCCGAGGGTTCAAATGAAAAGTATCAAGGTATTTGGAAATCTGTTGATTAAACCTCTGTAGGATAGACATACTGTAGCTCTTAGAAACCAGATTATAGGTTAGGTGATTTAAACTAGTGGTAGGCATTCCCCTCTTATAGAAACCTCACCTGATATGTAAAATACCACATCTTTGATGTATAGTTCACATGTTGGGTTTAAAAAGATGGATGATAAGCTAATATGTTATAGTATTAGGCAATATTAGTTTACAATTGTAGATTATATAATTGATACAATAGTGCAATTTCCAATTGTAAAAGGACACTTGATATAATTCAAGTTATGCAAGTATCAATAAAGATTTGCATCATTGTACATTTATCTATAAAAAAAAAAAAGTTATATTTTATATTCAAATAAACAAATATATTTACTTATTAAATTTTTTAAATAGATTTTTAATATAACAATTGATAATACAAGCAACAATATAATATTTCTTAAAGCTATTGAAAAACATTAAAAAAAAATGATATTGAATTTAATGCCAACAATCAATATATACAATGTCTTGCATATGTTATTAATCTTGCAATTTATAAATATAAAATACTGAGGATAATATTATTTAAGATAATAATAATATATTACGAGATAATAGCAATATATTATAAAACAATAACAATATAATTGTTGATCTTTTATTTAAAGTAAGTTTAATATTATTTATATTTAAATAAATATAGAAATTATAATTATTAATAAATTAATTTATTTTTAATTTTATAAACTTATTTTTAAAATTTAGAATATTATTATAACAACAAGAAAAATTTTTTGCCTAATATCAAGTAATTGAAATATTTAATAAAATAGTTATATTGGATATAAAACATGATAGAATTCAATATATGATATATTAACTAAAGCTTATAAATTAAAAGAAGTAAGTTAATTTAAATTAATTTGATTATATATAAATAATAATATTTAAATTTTATTATTTTAGCTATTAAATACATTAAGTAATATCAATTTCAATTTTCATAATTTTATAATTAATAAAAATGAGTGGATATATTTAGAAGAAATTAAAAGTAAGTAATAATTTTAAAATATATATACTATATATATTATTTTATATGTATTAATTTTTAATGAATAATAAAGAAAAGAGTAAGAAAAATTAAAGTATATATTATTAATTAGTAAAAAGTTTAAAGAAATTGCAAAATATCAAGACAAATTGTTTAATATCTTTAAAAAAATAAAAATCTATTTATAGGACTCCTAATGGTATTACTTCAATATCTGTTCAATAATAGTTTGATACTTAAATTTATTATAAATTCATATAAGTGGGTTATAATCCATATATTAAATTTACTATAAATTGGTACCATTTTAATACTTTTCAGAGCCTTATCTATTTATCTGAAAAAAGTGAAATTGATTTAGAAAGCCATAAAAAAAATAGTCATATATAATTATAGTTAATATTCTTATAAGGTATTTAAATATTATTATTTATTTATTAAATATTTATATATCAAATATTTATTTATTATATAGTTAACTAACTTGTTAAGAAAAGTTTTGAATAAATATTTAAAGTTAATTTAATATATAAAAATGATTTATAAAAGAAATTATGAGACTGTAACTTATTATAATATAATATTATTCAAAAGTATACTGAATTGAATTTATTATTTGAAAAGAGAAGCTGAAAAATTGATAGAAAAATATAAAAAATAAAAAATTGCCAAAGAATTATCAATATATTTGGAGAAGTATCAAATTGAAGAAAGTGCAATAATAGATAAGGTCAGGAAAGCAATTATTAAGACAAAATCAATAGAAGATATAAAAATTAATCAAAAAAACAATCAAAAAAAAAGAAAAAAGAAAGAATACAAAATAGTAAATTTCAAAGATTATCTAGAATATAATCAATTAAGAAAAAAGAAAAGAAGTGAAAAAAGAAAAAGAAGAAACAGAAGATATATTCAAATTATATTATTTTATTATCATATTTTAATAAACTTTTTGTTAATTATTTTTATTTGTTAAATAATAAAATTAATTACTAATATATACAGTATATATAAAAATTCATTAAATTTTTAAACTTAAAATATATTAAATTATGATTAAGTTATCTATCAAATATTTGTATTTTATTATTTATTTATTGCTAAATACTATAATATTATAGTCAAACTATTTGTAAATGTTTAATGAATATTTATATTTAGTTTCATGCTGAGTGGTACTAAACAGTATAAATTTGACTTAAATTTATTTATAAAAATTTAAAAATTTGGCAATAATTCAATATATCGAATGATTAAATTTCGACTATATATTTTAAAGTTTTGTTAATCTTTATTTAATTAATTTATATATTAAAAAAATTTTAATAATTGATATTATTGTTTTTTATAATTGACAAAAAAATTAAAAATTTTAAATTGATATCTCTTTTTAATTATAATTTAAATATATTATTTAAATATATTTAAAAAACTTTCATTTCTATTCTTTATATTTCCAAATACACACATGTTTATTTTTATTTTAATATACTTATGTGATAAAATTGACATTTTTTAACAAGCAACTGTTAAGCTTATTGAAAGATTATGAGAAACAGGTATCATTTTACATCTGGTCTGTACTTCCCTGGATTATCAGCAAATAAAAGAATAGTGGAGATGCATCACTTTAAACTTAAAAAAAAAGTATTAAATTTATTAAATAAAAAAGAAAAGAATAATTTTTTTAACAAAGATACTACTTTATACTGATACCGATTATTGTGCTAATCATAAGTGTGATTCATAAGCTAGCTTTAATAAAAATCAAAATCAAGCGTATTTTGTAATTCTCCTAAAACAAAACAATCTAGGGAAAAGTCATAGGTGCATGTACCATATATTGGATATTTCAAAACACTTCGAGTTACATAATACAATTGCGAATATTTTTACAATATTTTTTATTCACAGTAAAACCGAATGATTAATAAAAACGATAAATATACATGATAATTTTTGATAATTTTCTTGTGAATTCTAATCCGTTAATTTTTGGATGTGATTCCAAGGGTTAACAGTAGTGCTGTCGCCATCATACCCGTAACCCCGTACCAAATCAAATGCGGTGAAGTTTTCACTAATAAGCTGTACATGCTATAAAACAACGTAGGTGAAATAATACGTATAATGGAATCCAATACGCTAATCGCTCCTAGCAATTGGCCCACTTGTGATTTCGGAATCAGTTTAGTTTCGAGGGATTTGATAGTTGGATTCGATATTGCTGCTAGAGACCCAAAAAAGAAGGCTATTTTTTTATAGGAAATTAATTAGCAGTTTACCAAATATTCAACAGACGATATCATTTATAAGTAATGCGAATTTACGAGAACGCAATAATTACCTGCGAAAAATGTTGTCGAATTGGTCGCCAACCCGAAGAAAAGATAAGAAATTGCGTCAACAGCTAACCCAACTCTGATTATCCAAACTTCAGTCAATAGTTCCTTTTTCTTGTCGACTTCATCTAACACCGTTGGTGACGACGTTCGTGATTTCCTTGTTGCATCTCTATCATTAACATTGTTCTCAATAACTTTACGATCATCTTTAATACTCCATTTCTTAAATAATCTCAAAAACATAGGATAAACCACCAATAACACAACTGCCCTTGAAAATCCACCCAAAAACAAGACATATCCTTGGTCCATGATTGACCAATCAAATACATAGGAGGTATAAAGCAAGAATATCTGTTGCGTTCCCGTTATTACTCCAAAGATTAAAATATTGATTCCTGCCAATTTTAATAATGAATATTTTCCGGCGTTTGTTGGGATCTCATCTTCCAATTCTTCTGCATTGCGTGAGGCGCCTTTTTGATTTCTAGGCATCAGAATAGACAATGTTTTAAAAAGGTTTAACACACCAAACCATTTCCAGAACAAAGAATGATTCCTTAGTTCGTCTTGGTAACGTCTTTGATTTTCCAATTGTTTCTCAAGCGGGATCGACTCGGGCAGGATAAATAGGATAAATAAACATAATAAAACAGAGACTATTGTCATCACGTAGAATACCGACATAATGTTATCCATAGCATCGACTAACCATCCGGATATCATAGGACCCAACGAAAAGCCCATTATACTGGAAATTTAAGGATTATTAATCAATAGTAATAGTCATTATATAATAAACATAATGAGAGTGGGATTATAATTAAATGCATACGGACATTACACCTTGCAACAATCCGAATACTGCGTTTCTACACGATCAAAGAATGTTAGATGATAGCGCATAATTATGGATTTTGAGAAAAGCAATCCATATTTGACACGCGACATGTTCATGTACAAATGTACCTTTGTGTAGAGGTCGTACAATCCGCGATATAAGCGTAACTGACGGTGATAAATAACAAAACTCCACCGGAGAGCCCTTCCATTAAATATCCGATTATTAAAAATTTGATGCCAAAATAGCTCCAGAAATTTCCTGCTAGCAGTATGCACAGATTAAGCATGGCCATTCCGACACTTGCAAGAAAGAGAATCATACGACGACCCCATCTATCTGAGAGAGAGCCAAGCGTTCCCAGCACAAAGACTCCTAAAAGATTATTATGTTAGCATAATTTGAAGACTTCTTTTGAAGGCATAATTGATTTACATATAATTTAGGTCTCATATTAAAAATACAGCCATCTTACGGTACAATATATTATAGCATGTTATATGGTACGTACCTGGTATAGCAGTACAAAGATTCAACACCAATATCAATTGAGAAACCTCGGCCTGTACTTCCGGAATATTACACATATCATCGGGCAATTCATCATTGTTTAAAACGAATAATTTTTGTGTCGTGTTTTCCTGTTTCGAAGAATAGTAATCCCGACAGACAACATCTACATAGAATTTAACTTTAGGGGCAATCCCAATCCCATAGGTGACAGCAACTACGAAAAATGCAGGTAATAACCAATATATTGATGGGGTTTTGTGCCAGGGTAATGCTCTCGATAATAAAGAATCCCTGTCTGTGGGAAAGTGATTTTTCGGTAAGAGAAAGTCTGATTCGTTGGCCTCGATTTCCAACGGGTCATTTCCTAATTTTAACGTAATCGATGGCACATATGTTGATTTGTCATTGTCGTCAGGAAAAGTCATTTTTTATCGTTATTTTTTTTAAAGGTAATCAAAGAAATATATAGTTTTCAAAAAACAGTTTATTTAAAGTTTAATGTCGGGTTTATTATTTTTCCTAAATGTTTTGATTACTTAGCTTGTATAACAAATGCATAGTTTGATTAATCAGCTCCGCGCCATTGAAATTATAGTAGAGATTATTGTACAATGATTATTACAATGATTATTGAGTACGAATATCAGGTGTTACTAGTTAAAAAGGTAAAAAATTACGTATATTAAAGAAACAGAAAACTTTCTGAAGTATTAATCGGATTGATTAAAATTTCATTCACAAATGTTACCATATACGTATAAGTATGTTATTTTATCATTTCATTTCTATCTTTTTAATAACAAAATATGGTTATTTAGATTTAAAGTTCCTCATCGAGATAACAACTAGATTAGGCAAAATATACTTCGCATCCTAACGAATTGCATATGCTATATATATATACATTTAATCAAAATGTAAACCGGATCACAAATACTACCGATTTACCAACGGTTAAACGTTTCTAAATACAGTATCTGTTACTGCACGAATAAAAACAGTTAGTACTCTGTAGGCAAACTTCTAGTAAATATGCATAATTGTAAGTTGTAGGTCGACGTCACTACTCGAACTTTCGAAATACCTTTATTACTGTATATAATTTTAAGAATTAATAACTAAATTTTCATAATTTTATTTTATTTATTTTTATTTTATTTTTAAACACCAGTTGGGCCTTGCTTTATTGACTTTTAATACTTTATACATGTCACATTTTTGTGTATTGTACATAGTTTACTATATGTGAATAAAGCTATATTTAAATAACTTACATATTGGCTTGTTGCTATCAGCTTGTCCAGGGACAGAGGCTTAAGCTAATATGTCAAGGCTCCATTAGCTTGTATATAATAGTTTTTGATTATGTGATTAAAGTTTGTGTTGTGTTCTTGTTTGTTATTTTGTATTCTGTTGCTAATTAAATACTCACAAATATGTTTGATTGGTTGTATCTGGTCTCTTGATTGGTTGGTTGTTGTATCATATCTTTTATTGAAATATATACTTTTAGTACTGTACAGTGCTCTATATAGTACCCCCCATAAAAAGTACCTCCTTCAAATAATACCTGGGTATTATATTAGTTATTTGGCCCAAAAACCTAATATATATTCAGGTACTTTATATAACCAATAGAAAACAATTTAATAATCAAATATATATATATATATACATACATAATAACAAACATATGTATAGTTTAACTATTTAAGAATAAAGATCTGATCTACAATTCCCAATATTATCCTTGTGGTTAGTAGTACTCAGACTTTTTGTTAAAGTCCAGTAGCAAAAGAGTTTGTGATAGTAAAAATGACATGTTGAGTTTCCATTGTTTGCGGTCTCTGTTGATAAACTTTCTCTCCAATGTATATGTCTTCCTCTTTACTAAGTTTTTTTTTGCATTCGTAAAAATTATATACATATTTAACAAAAATTTGAATAAAATTTTTAGGTTTATAACTCAAAATGATATAAAGATTTCAGGAAATTTCTTGTTTATCTTTAAAAATTAATACATGTATATGTATTTGTGGGGTTTTTTCTCATATGCTATGACACTGATCTAGATAAGGACAAGATCGTGCTCACCACTCTTAATTAATCTCCTTTTCTAAATCCTCACATAGTCAATTTTAACAGTTTTTTCTCGGCCTTCTACTAATTCAGGAGAGTTGAAATGAAGCTGGGTGGAGAAGAGAGATACTTGTCGAATAACATCTATGATAGTGGATGATAATCATAGACAAAGATAAATGCTTGTATATGAAAAAAAAACATGAGTAAATTTTCATGTTCAACCTGAAGTCTTGGAATTTTTTTACTCACAATGATTTCTAAAGGCTTTCGTGATATATTTGTGTGTCTAATTTTTCACCAATTTTCAATTGTTAATATAGCCATTTTGTTAACTGAAAATCTATATTGAACGTCACATTAAATATATGTAACTAATTACCTCCTAACAAAACGTGTATAGAAAAAAAATTTACCTTCAATATATCTCAAATTGTAAACATGTCTATCGATACTACAAATTGACTTGGATATCAAAAATTTTAACTGATTTTTCTTGGTGCATATCGAGCAAGTACAATGATAATATGAAGTTTCTTGGGTAAATTAAATTCCTTCACTGTAAGGTAAGAAATATGAAAATTAAGTCACAGTAATGGTGTTAATAGTTAGATATCAAAAATTTATATGACAATTTTGCTTCACAAACAAATTTTCATAACATCAAAATGTATTTTTAGATTCCTTTTTGTCAAAAGGTGTTATGGACAGCCATCATATTCTTTATTTTTCTTGTGTATTTCTAAATTCCGCTATATGACATTATGTTTTCTGATTCCTCCGATTCTCTTTACTAGCTGCATATAATTCTTGCTTTAAATAGAGGTACCTTAATAAAACTCAGTATTATATCTATTGTTACTTCGGGCATGATCATGCAACTTTTGGCTGGTGCTAACCTTATTGAGGTTGACTTTAGTCTGAAGAAAGACAGAGTATTATTTAGCGAAGCCCAAAAACTTTTTGCCATGATTTTTGCTTTTGGTCAAGCCACCATGTCCGTAATGACCAGGTTGTATAGTGATCCCTCTGAAATCAGAACTGGTGTCTGCTTACTACTTATCATCTAACTTGTCATTGCTAGTCTCATCTCTATGCTTCTGAACGAACTTTTGCAAAAAGAATATGATTTGAGCTTTGGTATTTCTCTTTTTATTGCCACCAACATCTGTGAATCCATCGTTTGGAAGACATTCAGTCCAACCACTGTCAATGCTAGCTGAGGTCTCGAATTTAAGGGTGCCATAATTTCTCTATTCCATTCACTTTTCACCTATAGCAATAAAACTTATGCATTGAAGAAATCATTTTACAGAACCAATTTGCCCAATGTTATGAACCTTCTAACTACCGTGGTAGTTTTTGCTATTGTCATCTACCTTCAGGGTTTTCGTGTTAAACTTCCCATTTGATCTAGCCATTTCCGTGATTAGCGTGGCATATACCTGATTAAACTTTTCTATACATCGAACATACCAATCATACTTTAATTCATTCTTACCATCAATGTTTTCTTGATTTCGCAAATGTTATACACCTGGTTTCTGAAA